CATCTCCTGTACCGTGTCCGCAGTCTCTGGTCATCCCTGTACCGTGTCCGCAGTCAGTCTTGGTCATCCCCTGTACCGTGTCCGCAGTCTCTGGTCATCCCCTGTACCGTGTCCGCAGTCTCTGGTCATCCCCTGTACCGTGTCCGCAGTCTCTGGTCATCCCCTGTACCGTGTCCGCAGTCTCTGGTCATCTCCTGTACCGTGTCCGCAGGTCTCTGGTCATCTCTGTACCGTGTCCGCAGTCTCTGGTCATCTCCTGTACCGTGTGTCCGCAGTCTCTGGTACCTCCCTGTACCGTGTCCGCAGTCTCTGGTCATCTCCTGTACCGTGTCCGCATTCTCTGGTCATCTCCTGTACTGTGTCCGCATTCTCTGGTCATCTCCTGTACCGTGGTCATCCCCTGTACCGTGTCCGCATTCTCTGGTCATCTCCTGTACCGTGTCCGCAGGTCTCTGTCATCTCCTGTACCGTGTCCGCATCTCTGGTCATCCCTGTACCGTGTCCGCTCTGGTCATCTGTACCGTGTCAGTCTCTGGTCATCCCCTGTACGTGTCCGCAGTCTCTGGTCATCTCCTGTACCGTGTCCGCAGTCTCTGGTCATCTCCTGTACCGTGTCCGCAGTCTCTGGTCATCTCCTGTACCGTGTCCGCAGTCTCTCTCTGGTCATCTCCTGTACCGTGTCCTCATTCTCTGGTCATCTCCTGTACCGTGTCCGCAGTCTCTGGTCATCCCCTGTACTATGTCCGCATTCTCTGGTCATCTCCTGTTCCGTGTCCGCAGTCTCTGGTCATCTCCTGTACCGTGTCCGCAGTCTCTGGTCATCTCCTGTACTGTATCCGTCTGGTCATCCCTGTACCGTGTCCGCATCTCTGGTCATCTCCTGTACCGTGTCCGCTTCTCTGGTCATCATCCCCAGTGTCATCCCCCTGTACCGTGTCCGCAGTCTCTGGTCATCCCCGCAGTGTGGTCACCGTGTGTACGTGTCCGCCGCAGTCTCTTGTAGTCATCTCCTGTACTGTGTCCGCAGTCTCGGTCATCCCCTGTACCGTGTCCGCAGTCTCTGGTCATCCCCTGTACTGTGTCCGCAGTCTCTGCTCATCCCCTGTACCGTGTCTGCAGTCTCTGGTCATTTCCTGTAGTACATCTGCAGTCTCTGGTCATTTCCTGAACTATGTCCGCAGTCCATTGGTTCAGAATATTTTTTTTCTTGCTTTCCTCCTCTAAAACCTAGGCGCGTCTTATGGAGCGATAAATACGGTATTTACTCGGTACAACCTCGTCTTTTTATCCAAAATTTGGGTACTGTGTTTGCGTGCACTAAAATATAATTTTGAGTGCATCTTTTACAAACATTTTGGATTTGGTAAACGGTTGCAGGAGTATTACAAATTGCAACCTTTTTATCTTCCAGGGTCTGCGCTTTGAAAAAATATGATGTTTTGGTTTTTGCAACTTACTGTTTTTTTTTTTTTTTTTTTTTAATGTATATATATATATATATATATGACTGATTCTCTGCTGTTACCTATTCTATAATAAAATTCTTTGTAAAAGAATAAATCTGATGTTTGGGAGGGTTTCAAGTAATCTTCAGGTTCCTAAAAGGTGCATTTAAAAGTGTGCAAAGGAAGGGGGAAAAACAAAACAAAAGCTCTGGCAGGGAACGGGTTAGATCCTTTGAGTGGATTGGATTCACCAAATCTTTTCACGCCCTCTATTGAGCGGCTTTGATCCTACAAGACATGTTCTCCTCCTAAACAATGTTCCCCGTCTGGCAGGGATCACAGAGCTTCCCATTGACTCTCACAATGGGATGAAGCCAGTAATCATTAGCTGGTGACTCATTTTGTTGTAGTTTTCCAAATAAAAAGAAAAAAATTTTCATTGGCTTTTAAAAGCTGTAGTGTGACCCCCCGCTGTAAATTGTGGCTCTCTTTAGGGATGCGCAACACAAAGGCTACAAAGGGTTCCGGAGCTGCTACTAATATATTGACTGACGGAACTCCGATTCTGACAATAGACCTCAGTTTCACGAAGAGCTGTAAAAGCTTTGAGCGGGTTCAGCTTCTCTGCTAATTGTCTGCAGAAGAGTAATGCAGGCCATACATGGTTCAAATTCCGAACGATATTTAGTCCGAAAATCCAAAAAAAAAAAAACATTCGCTCGATAATCCGATGGTGCCATCAGTGATTTCAGAAAATCGGCCGACCGAGTCATAATTTCACTGTAAAAGCTTTGAGCGGGTTCAGCTTCTCTGCTAATTGTCTGCAGAAGAGTAATGCAGGCCATACAAGGTTCAAATTCCGAACGATATTTAGTCCGAAAATCCAAAACGTCGTTCGCTCGGTAATCCGATGGTGCCATCAATGATTTAAAAAATCGGCTGACCGAGTCATAACGTTCACTGTAAAAGCTTTGAGCGGGTTCAGCTTCTCTGCTGATTGTCTGCAGAAGAGTAATGCCGGCCATACATGGTTCAAATTCCAAAAGATATTTAGTCCGAAAATCCAAAACGTCATTTTAATCCGATGGTGCCATCAATGATTTCAAAAATCGGCCGACGAGTCATAACGTTCACTGTAAAAGCTTTGAGTGGTTCAGCTTCTCTGCTAATTGCCTGCAGAAGAGTAATGTCGCCATACATGGTTCAAATTCCGAACGATATTTAGTCCGAAAATCGGAAACGTTCGCTCGGTAATCGATGGCTCCATAAACGATTTTGAAAATTGGCCGATTGAGCCCATAACGTTCACCCCCATAGAACAGGCGAGACTTCTGTGCCTTCCAGGTCACGGCTCATGCGCCTATTCTTTTCGGAAAAAATCGTACGATTGTGACCATCATTGAGTGGAAAATCGGTTGTTTTTCATGAATTTTCCAACCGAAAAGGGAGGAACCACACAAAAATTGGCCGGTCCCACTAACAGTGAAAATCAGCCGATTATTCTTAGGTCCGATTTTTTGAACAATCAGTCGATTTGTGACCCATGATCTTAAGTGCTGGGTGAGGAACCGCCATCATTTATATGCCCATGCGGGGTTTTTTTTTTTTTTTTTTGTTTTTTTTTATCCTTTTGATCTCTCTTTTTGTAGAGCTTTTAGCAGCTTTGTTGATGCTCAGGTGAACTTTCCCTTTAAATTGGCTACGTGCAATCCAGTGGCATGGAAAGGAAGGTTCTGCAAAGTCATCCAGTTTGCTTTCCGTGTGGAAGCAGTGGAATCTCTGCAGAGATGGAGTCAGACCTATAGCTCTGCAGTCAGCAAAGCTCTAGCTGATTGGACAGATCTAGATCTAACCGCTAGGGCTGTGTGAGACCTCTGCAGAGAGACCACTGTTTCCACACACAAGGGTCTTTTTCTGCAGCATGCTGGCGGGGGACAGGCCTTGAGTACTCACCCCTATCCCTGAGATTTGGATTGGTTGGTGCTGTGCCTTACTGCCAGCTACCTGAGAGCTGTTTGTTGGCCACCTGGATAGACTTGGTAACTCGCTGCCTGCCACAACCCCTATCTGGACCTGACTACTTTCTCTCAACTGCCAAGACCTCTGTCTGGACCTGACTACTCTCTTGCCTGCCTCCTGCCTTGACTCTTTGCTCAGACTACTCTCTTGCCTGCTGCCTGCCACAACCCCTGTCTGGACCTGACTACTCTCTCTCGCCTACCAGGACCTCTGTCTGGACCTGACAACTTTCTCTGTCACCTGCCAGGATTTCTGTCTGGTCCTGACTACTCTCTTGCCTTCCTCGACCCCCTGCTCAGACCTGACTGCTCTCTTGCCTGCTGTTTGCCACATACTGTGTCTGGACCTGACAACTCTTGCCTGCCCTCTGCCTCGACCCCCTGTTCCGACCTGACTACTCTTGCCTGCCAAGAACTATCTGGACCTGACAACTTTCACCTGCCAGGACCTCTGTCTGGACCTGACAACTTTCGCCTGCCAGGACCTCTGTCTGGACCTGACAACTTTCGCCTGCCAGGACCTCTGTCTGGACCTGACAACTTTCGCCTGCCAGGACCTCTGTCTGGACCTGACAACTTTCGCCTGCCAGGACCTCTGTCTGGACCTGACAACTTTCGCCTGCCAGGACCTCTGTCTGGACCTGACAACTTTCGCCTGCCAGGACCTCTGTCTGGACCTGACAACTTTCGCCTGCCAGGACCTCTGTCTGGACCTGACAACTTTCGCCTGCCAGGACCTCTGTCTGGACCTGACAACTTTCGCCTGCCAGGACCTCTGTCTGGACCTGACAACTTTCGCCTGCCAGGACCTCTGTCTGGACCTGACTACTCTCTTGCCTCCTTCGACCCCCCCTGTTCCGATATGACTACTCTCTTGCCTCCTTCGACCCCCTGTTCCGATATGACTACTTCTCACCTGCCAGGACCACTGTCTGGACCTGACCACTTTCGCCCACCTGCCAGGACCTCTGTTTGGACCTGACCACTTTCTCCCACCTGCCAGGACCTCTGTTTGGACCTGACCACTTTCTCCCACCTGCCAGGACCTCTGTCTGGACCTGCCATCTTTTGCCTGCCAGGACCTCTGTCTGGACCTGCCATCTTTTGCCTGCCAGGACCTCTGTCTGGACCTGACTGCTTTTGCCTGCCAGGACCTCTGTCTGGACCTGACTGCTTTTGCCTGCCAGGACCTCTGTCTGGACCTGACTGCTTTTGCCTGCCAGGACCTCTGTCTGGACCTGACTGCTTTTGCCTGCCAGGACCTCTGTCTGGACCTGACTGCTTTTGCCTGCCAGGACCTCTGTCTGGACCTGACTACTCTCTTGCCTTCCTTGGCCCCCCGCTCAGGGCCGTTGTACGTGGGTTGTACAGACAGATTGTACCGTATGTGGGCAGCATTGGGATGAGGATAATGGTCGGTCAGCCGCCGGCTCTGCCTAGGGTTGTCTGGGCTCCGCCGTCGCATCTCCTCCCCGGTCAGCAGATTGCGGAACAAAATGTGCCGAAACTTTGGAGTGTTCTTCAGATTCCCGACACC